CCCCAAAACCCCAAAACCCCAAAACCCCAAAACCCCTTTAGAGTTTAATTTAGTTGAATTACATCTTTAGTTAATTCTTTCAAAAATGGAATCCTCCACACACTCTATTCAAGACATGGAGTCTGAAATCTTCACAAAAATTTGTGAAAATAATAGGTATATCTTGTACATCCTTGGTTCAACTGCTACAGGCAAATAGCAAGCTTGCCCTTACACTTGCTGAAGAGATAGGAGGGGCAATAGTCAACTGCGACTCAATGCAACTATACAAAGGAGGAGGAATAATGACAGCTAAGCCATCTCCTGAAGAGCAGAGCATAGTACCGCATTATCTCTATGGCTATCTCGAGACAGATATCAGAGATTACAATGTGAACCAGTGGTATTCGAAAGCTCTAGAAGCAATCCTCGAAATTGTAAATTGAGGAAAAGTTCCTATAATCTGTGGAGGAACCTTCTATTATGCACAAAAATTACTCTACGATACCTATATTGAGGATCTACAAAGAGAAGAAGCTGACCCCTCTCAAATTCAGCAGGCTGTAGAATCCTTAGAGGTTGATTTCAAACAAAAAGTCCTCGAATTGCACGAATATTTGCTAAATGAGTACTGGGAATCTCTTCCAGAAGACCACGAGACTTACCATTATAAAGAAGAGGGACTTTTTAACGACGAAATATGCTATGAATTGCTTAAAATTATTGATAAAGAGTCAAGCGACTTCTACAAGCTCCAGGATCACAGAAGAGTTTGTAACGCTCTCAGGAAATTTTATCTCAATAGAGGGAAAGTCCTCACAAGTGATTACATCAAATACCAGAAAATCAAGCTCCGATTTCCCAGTGTCGTCATCAAACTCAAAGTCGAGCCAGATCTTCTACTCGAAAGAGTGGCTTCGAGAGCCAAAAATATGTTATACCAAGTAATCTCTATAGATGGCCAACATTCTAGTGGCCTCTCAGAGATACTTGAAGTGTTCACTGATTATGAAGAAAGGAAACTAACTGAAGAGGACTTCAAATAAGGGTATTCTTCAGTCAATTGGTTATAAAGGTAAATTAGCCAATAAATTTATAGAATTTTACCCACTTTATAATCTCTTATCAACAGAAGAAAAAAAGCGTAGGGGCTAGTATCACTCTTTTAGACTACGTACAGAGTATAAGAGACCTCTCAACCTCATCTGGAATAGGTAAGCCTTGCCGTAACCCATTAGACTCCCTCAGAGAGCAACTTGAATCAGATAATGCCATTAAGAAATGCATTGATGAATGTACTAATTTTATAATTATCACTAGGAATTGAGAAATTAATCATAAAAACCAAGAACTACGCGAAGTACCAGAACAAGATGTTGAAAGTACCCTTGCCACATTTGAGTCTATAGAAACTTAGAGCATGCATTTTCTATGAATACTTAAGAGTAAAGCCCGGGTTTGATCACTATAGACAAAGTCAAATACAGAAAACATGATTTCAGATTGAACTGAGTTCATACGAACCATCAACACCCAGCTGGAAGATGCTCAGAGTACAGATATGCTGTACGAGCCGATCAAGTTCAACACAAAGCCAACTCCGCTCCCAGAGCCGCCAGCTTAGTAGTAGTTTTCAACAAAATTTAGGATGGAAGGGGTTTTGGGGTTTTGGGGTTTTGGGGTTTTGGGG